CACTCAGGAAAGATGCTGGGCTGCATCTTCCCAGGGACAAATAATTACTTTACTAAAACAGTACAAAGGACTACAATTCTAAGTTGACATTGGTGAAGTGCATCTAGGTAACTAATGGCACAAACAACTCAACTGAAAAGATGACAGTGTCAACCACCACCACCGAGGTCCTGTGTGCAGCCTGGGGTCATAAGAAGCCACCGTTGGGGGGCCAATCAGAGTTTCAGAGGTGTTAACATGAGGCAAGGCACTTCCATTTTGTGTTTACCACTCAAACCTCAGAACTTCTCCAAATATTACAAGGATGTAAATCTTAACGCCAGATGCTGCAGAAGAGCCAACTTGAATTCTCAGGTACTTTGCATAAATTTTCCTAATAAGTGCTTACGAAAAACGCAGGGATGACTTAGACAGGTGGGACTCATAACTCACCAACTGCTGAATGACTCTCTCAACCAGTGTTGAAAATGTGATGTCCTCAAACTCTCTGTTGTCGAACACGTATTTGATCAGCTTGGCGATAGTCTCCGTGTCTGTTTCTGACTCAAACTCATATCCTTTGCTTTCCTGGAATATTAGGTTGGCCACAGAGTGTCAGATAATGTCATTGCGAAATGCTGGACTGGCTAGCTCCCCCTCCTCCCTATGACTTGCCCTCAGAGTGACTTAAGGAGAGAACAGGGAAATGTGAAAGGGATGAGAAATGCTTGCCAGAATCACATAGCACAACACCACTGAGTCACTCAGTATTCCCTGAGATCACCCCACCTCAGAAGCTTGTTCCTGCCACGAATCTGGACATTGCAAAATACGAGCCGTGATCAGATGAGTTGAGTCAAATCCACCCACATCCCAGCCAACACCACAACCTTTTCTTCGTTTTAGACACTTGCCATCTGCCTTCCCACCCCACATTCCATTTGGTGTATGAGTCGATAATTTAGTGCAGACGCTCTAATGATAGGAAGTTCGTGTTCTTTTGATTCTACGACTGTAGTGGCTCTTGTGAATGCGTGTGCCCTGCTCTCTCTTCCAGCAAGATCTGAGGCGGTGGCTGAGCTGGGGCTGAGGTTTGTGTCCAATGTGGTGACGTAGCCAAGAGTGGCTGTCCCTCAGCTTCTGCTTTTGCTTCCGGAGGGGAATGAGCTAGCAGGAAAGTTTCTGGGGAAGACCAATAGCACTTGACTTAGATGTTACCCAGAGGCAGTTGCTTACCAGAAATTTCTTCAGGTCTTTGTAATTTGTGATGATCCCATTGTGAATGACAACGAATTCTGGAAGAAAAGTTTCAAGAGTGAAATGCTATGAAGAAGTGAAGATCAAGTCAGGTGTGAAAGGAAACAATTCAGCAGCTTGAAACTCTGCAGACTTTGCTCCTATAGGGACGTCTGTCAAGCAAATGTCACTTACAGTTACTAGAACTGATGTCTGCTATGACTACAATTTCAACCTGAGGACATACACATTCTTCTTTCAATCAAGAGCACCCACCAACCTGACCACGGACAGAGCTCTCCTTGTGGTCTACAGTGTCACCAAAAAAGCGTTGCTATTTATGTCGATGGGGCTGGTTAACCCTTCATTACCCAAAAACAATTCCAGGAATTCTCAACCGGTTCAAAGAAGTCACACACTAGTGGTCCACACATATGCTCCTGTTTGACTGCACTGAATTGTAAAAAGATTTGAGCTGAAATGTTTTGAGTTTTCATTTAAAAATCCTGCTTTTCTTTTTTTTCTTTTTTTAAAAATATATCTTTATTGATTTCAGAGAGACGAAAGGAGAGGGATAGAGAGATAGAAACATTAATGATGAGAGTCATTGATTGGCTGCAGCCCGCAACCCAGGCCTGTGCCCTGACCGCGAATCGAACCCTGATCTCCTGGATCCTAGGTCGATGCTCAACCTCTGAGCCACACCTGGCCAGGCTAAAAATCCTGCTTTTCTTCTAGGAAAATCCCCAGAAGTTCTGGCACCCCTGGGCTCCCTCCCCACCCCCCTTGTGGCCAGGAGCAGACCTCCACCTCCTGCGCTCCAGCAGCAAACCCGCTCCCTTGGGAGGCTCACGTACAGGTGGGGCGGGGAAGATGAGGGCAGTCCCCTTCGTTGCCACTGCACATCTCAATAAATAGCTGAGAAAAAGGTCGAAGGCCGGTCTGAATGTTTTTCTGGACAAGTAGCCCTGCTCCCCCTAGTTAACAGAAAAACTCTTTACTATCCCTGAGATTCAATAATTCCAGCAGCATGTGTCTACAAGTTGGGTGTTTGTCATAAATATTGACTATTAGTCAGTGGACATTTGGGCCTCCAGCTCAAGTTTTTCTCAGTACAGGACAGATTTTTCCTGTTACATCTTTTAAAACTTTTTGCTTTATTCCTTTTCTTTATTTTTACCATAACTTCCTCTATATATTTTTACAACATATTGTTTACTTTTGTGTGGTCACATAAAAAATGAGATGGCTCGAATAAAAATTTAAAAAAGCCATTTCCAGCAGGTGTGCTAGCCCAGCTTACCGGTGTTACAGCTTTGGTGTGTTTACCGCTCCACTTGTTCTGGTCCCTCTTGGGGACACCAGTTATCCAACTGTTGGACCTCTACTGTATGAACTGTTCCCATAGCCAACTGCTTTCATGTCTACTGTGACATTATTTCTTACACCATTTTCTTAACTTTTCTTTCACCTTGGTCTACTGTCTTCTCTGCATTAATTTGTTTCCTAGAATCCATGTTTTTTCTATAAAAACTCCTCATGTAATTTTCTTGTGCAATGTCGTTGCTGGGTGTAAGCCTTCCTTAAAAGTATGCTCTCCAGCTATCACTGTTGAGTTGTTAAAGAAATTTTATGAATCTTTTCTTACCTCCCATGTTATTCTATTTTTAATTACTCATCCTGAGTCAGGGCAGGCATTTCCAAGCCCTGGGAGCCTCCCTGCTCTGCGTACACAGAATCATCATCTACTCTGAAGCAGGGGTTCGCCTTATCACCTGGGTGAGCATATTATCTCGGGGCACATGGGCCTGGTACAGTGTTTCCTCACCAATACTGCTGCTCCAGGGATCTGCCCTGTATCTGGCTCAGGGTTAGGCTGGATGTATGTTCTAGGTCCACAGCACCATGGGATCTACTGTCTCCCTCCTGGGTGTAGGGTGCCTGCCCCAGTAGTGGGACACTCTGTGGTCCAGGGCAGGGACCAGATCCAGGGAAAAATCCCCAGCAAAACCCTCACTACTTGAGACTCTGGCCACATGGACACATAGGCAGCCTGGCCCCTGCGCTACCTCCAGCTGCTCTGACGAGAGGGGTGCATGAGGCCTTCCTTTCCAAGTCGGGCAGGGTGAGCTGCCTTTGGAAACTGCAGTGTCCACAGGGGCAAAGGAAATGAGCCGGGAGGTGCAGTTGTCTTCTGCAGCCCGACTTCCAGGAGGATTAGGGCAGTGAGCCCTGTTGAACGCTTAGCCAAGTGCCTGCTAATAAGCACCCCGGACCTCGTGTGATGCGTCTGATCCTTACCCTGATACAGGGCTTGGCACTGTGCCAGATGTCTTGGAGTGAGGTCCCCGCTCACTCTAAAGATCATTCTCTCTACTGGACACCCCCTCCCATCATGCCCCATTGGGAGTCTTTAGGGCTCCTGACCTGCCCAGGCCCAACCCAGAGTGGGGACCCACATGAGGACCCAGACGATGTCTCNTCTCCCATCATACCCCACTGGGAGTCTTTAGGGCTTCTGACCTGACCAGGCCCAACCCAGAGTGGGGGACCCACATGAGGACCCAGATGATGTCTCAGGACCTTGCCTGGAGCCGTGGGAAGAATCAAGGGCTATGCTCTCTCCCCATCTCACATGCCTACTGTGTCTTACTGCAGGGGTACCAATGACCCTGGAGCTGACCACAGAGCCCCCAAGAACTGCCACTAGGAGCCCCAGACCTATCAGTCCACCCCCATGAAAGGGGTTGGGGCATGATTAAGGAGCATGAGGGCATGGAGAATTGTCCTGGGGGTCCAGGACCCATGAGCTGGGGCAGGCACACAGCAGCAGCTAGGAGAACTGGGGAGCCTGCAGCCCACCAAAGAGGGCTTGGTGCCCCTGGGACTTCTGTGAGCAGTGACCACGTCCCTGCTCTGTGACCGTGACCTGCTGTCAGTGGAGGACCAAGACACTGTGAGCTCAGTTACCATACCTTCCACTCTGTCAAGGGATGCCAGGTGCCTAGATTTTTACACACAATCATTCTTGTTTTTTAAAAACACAAAGCAAGCTGAGTTGCGGGCTCTGCTGCTGGGAGGAGCTCTTGGGCTGCCAGTGGCAGCCTCTGCTTCTTCAAATCTCAAGCCCTCAGTTGCCGAGGCCTCACTGCAGGGGCCAGTTTAGAGCAGGCACCTCATTCTCAGTTCACCAAGGTCAGCCCTGCTCCCCTGCCCTTGCCCAAGACCACTCTCTTCCGAGGCAGGGTGGGTTTAGGGATGGAACACTATCCTTTCCTCAGGTGCCCAGACCTCCAGAACACCTCAGCCCCTTGTTTTGGAACAGTGTCTAGGCCCTTCACCCCCTTAGGCTGCCAAGTTCCCTCCGGCCGATTTCCCAAGAGGCAGGAGTACTCTCAGGAAGTGTCTTCATTTTCCTCTGGATGCCCCGGAGCCAGGGTGAATCTACCTCCTGTCTGGGGCCAGTGCCACCAGTCTGGATTGTCAGAGATGACAGGGTGGCTGAGAAACCCATTGGTGGTGGGTGTGGATCCACCTGTCACAGTCTGGGCCAGGCAGAACCCTCGAGACAGAAAGCAAGGCCTCGGTACATACCATTGTCTTTGTCTGATCGCTGTGGGTGGCTGTTGACAGCACTGGGAGCCCCATGGGTGGCCCAGCGCGTGTGTGCAATGCCAAAGTGGGTCTCAAATTCCACCTCTAAGTCCATGCTGTCTTGCTCTAGATGAAAGAAAAATCCATTGGCCACACTTACAAAATAAGCATTGACACAGTACTGATATGTCGAGGTGGCATCACTACATGGAGACACATCAGCGCACCCCACCAGCGACCACAAGGCACCTTCACGTCCTCCTGGGGTTTCTGCCAGACCCCTGCTGTTGTTTACTTAATGCTTATCAGTAACCTAACTCACTTAACTGAAATAAACTTACTTTAAAAAGAAAATTATATATCACTACTACAGGTGGAAAAGCAATATCACTTGCCAGAAAAATTAAAATACATAAGTACTGAATATTTAAAAATACATTTCTTCATGCACCTCGCTCAGAAAAGTCAGCATTTTTAGTTTCAAATACCGTTGGATAAAAGATTTCCAAGTGACCCATGGTGCGCTTATTGCTCTGACCCGGTGTGTTTCCACTTACTGTAAAGTTCTTCGTCAAGAGCCTTGACATTTCCCCTTTTCTTGACCAGCTGGATATGTCTTTCTTTGACTTCGTTATTATTTCCATCAATTGCCACACCTGCAGGTGAACATGATTTTCTGTATTGGAATTTAAGGTTTGTCTCATGCGCTTTGTTACAGGGTGAAGGCTGCACAATTTATTAGCTCTTGCTCCCCAGGCGTCACCTAACTGACCTGGAAAGAGGGGGCTGTGACTGTGGCGACGCTCATCAGCCAGCAGGGAATGTGTGCCCGACCCACAGTCGCGGAGGGCGGTGGGCACACTTAGGGCATTCATTTTGCCATGGGCTCTGCATCCTCCTGCTTTAGGTGGTACCTCTACGGTCAGTGTCCCCTCACTCTTTCACCCGCCTTGCCTTCTGTTAAGCACTGATAGGGATGTCAAATGATCTGGCCCTTCCTTTCTCCTACCGCGGCTTAATTAAAATGGGAAACAGATGAAATGTCCACCAGGCAGGCAGGTGGAGTAAACTCTGAGACGGAGTCTAGTGGACTGTCGTACAGCCACTTAGAAGATCGTTAGGAATTTAGGATAATGGAAAATGCTCGGATAAGTGAAAAAAATATAAAAGTACAAAATTCTATAATCACGATTAGGTGAAAACAAAAATGTCTACGCACTTCCACAGTCCACCCTCACCCCCAGACCACCCCAACAATGACTGGAGGGGGGACACAAGAACCCTCACACCCTTGGCCTTGCCAGTCCACCAAGGAGAAGTTTCCTATGGACTGCTTGCAGGAGATGAAGCTTTCACTGCAGCAATGCTCATAATAGCAAAGATCAGCAAAACCACCCAACCAGCCACGAATACAGATTTCTTTTACTCTTGTTTCCACTTTTGACTTTCTATAGTTTTCAAATGTAATAAACAGCGTTACGTTTCTATGGCAGAAGCCTGCAAGACCTACCTGCCGAGTCATAGCCTCTGTACTCCAGCCGCTGCAGGCCCTTGATGAGGGTTTCAAAAATCTCCTTCCTGGTGCGGGGCACTCTGTAGTTCATGTAGGCAAAGATTCCTGTTAAAAGAGGGGGACACTGCACTTTTAATAAACACTGGGTTCATGCTGAGAACACGGTCTGGGCATGCAGACACCGACGGCAGTGCGGGAGGCATCCAGGCTGCGCAGAGGAAGAGCCACGCTCCCCTCCTGCTCCTGGGAGGGCATCGCAGGCATCCCTTCCTCTGTGACAAAAGACTCAGGCAGCAGGTGAAGGGCCCTCACACCCTTGGCCTTGACATTCCACCAAGGAAAAGTTTCCCATGGGCATGCTTGCAAGAGATGAGGCTTTCACTGTCGCAATGCTTATAATAGCAAAGATCAGCAAAACCACCCAACCAGTCACGGACGTCTGGGAGTCCCCACCTACGTGGACTCTGACTGGCACTAAATACACCTGGGAAGAGTGATCCGGAGGTCAGAGAAGCCTCCGGCAGCAGATGAGAATGGGCACTGTGGCCTCTGCTCTGCTTCCCACTCAGCCCTGCTGCTTGGATCAATAAGCATCACTTTACAATAGCAGAAATAAAACCATTTCTAGACCCCTAGAGAATTCTTATCTTTAGGGAAGGCCAAGAAGATTCTGTTTGGCTTTATTTTCAGTATTCATATTGCAAAACAGTACTGTCCTCTGTAGGCAGTACAAGTTGTCATGCTGGTTCTTTCCTCCCCCTCCACTCACCCCCCTGCTTGAGACCACAGACTCTGGGTCTGTCTCTGTCTTGCCCTGTGAACGCCCAGTCCAATCATCCCTCTGTCCTTGCATTCCCCCTGCTCTCCTCAAAGCTCAGCTCCAGCCCCACCTCCCAGGGAGGCTTGTCAAGGCCCCGGCTCTTACACCCACAGGGCCACCCCAGTGCTCTTAAGTCCTGGGACATCTATATCCCCTGACAGGGACACAGGCTGGCATTCCTACCTTTATATTTATCACCGTATTTCAGCAGACAGTCCTTATTCAATAAATGTGGAACACAGCAACCCTGAATCTATATTAATCAGGAAGCAATAGTATGGATCATGAAAAAGTTACTGGGCTTCAGGCATACTTACAGTAACTCATCGCACTGAGAACTCACCACGTGCCAGGCACTGGGCCAAGCATTCCCACACAGATGTCAATCAAAGCTCACAGCAGCCTTAGAGGTCAGACCTGTTATCACCCAGAAGCCTGTGAGGCTGTGACTGGGCAAGAGTCAGGAGCAGAGCCAGAGACCTGACTTCAGGACGTAAATGCTCCCAGCACTGGGCAGTGTTGCCTCGGGATAGGTAGAGTTAAAAAGTTTATTTTCCCAATTTTAATTTTGGGAAAGAAGATACCTATCAAGAAGGGCTTCTGCTGGCTAACTGGAGTCAGAGTAAAAATAAATAAAACGGAGCCTAGCAGCCATTTCCAAACAGGGCCCTCTCATGCAAGGTGCAGTTCAGAGAGAAGTTTCTACCCAACTGCCTGCCTGCACTGTGCTCCTGCCCATGGAGCAGCCCTTATAGAGGCGCTCCTGGGATCCTATTTCAGCCAATAGGACTGGGACTTCCCCCATCCAATCAGAGCTGTGCAGCTAGCTGTATCTGCCATTAGCATCTTCAGCAACCAATCAGAGCAGCTCCATTCTGACCAGTCAGGGCGGTGCTTTTTGAATCATCAAACTGCAAGGGTCTGGGAGTCCTTATTTGCATGAGGATGAACCAATCAGGGACCAGCGCAGAGACTTCAGTCTCTATAAGTCCGCTCCCTGATGGCTCCAAGAGGGGCATTGTCCCCTTCCACTGAAGACTGACTTTCCCCAGCTGGAGCTCCAGCGGTGCAAGCAGAGCAGAGCAGAGCAGAGCGGTCTAGCCAGAGAGGCCTTGGCCCAGGGCTGCCTGGCCCCAGGGCCACCTCACAGCCATGCTGTTTCATAACTGAGCTATAACACTACTGAGCTGGTCCACAGCTTTGCTGTATCACAATTGAGCTGTGTTGCACTGAACAGAATTTCCTTCCTTCACTGCACCCCAAGTTGGGGATTCCTGTTGGCATTGACTTGGTGACAACAAACACTGGTTAACAATTTTTTGTTTTATTTTTTAATTTTCCCAACATTTTTCTGGGATGACAAAGTCTGACCAAGATGAAAAACCTGCCAGATATCTGCACCCCCATGTGCACTGCAGTACTCTTCACAATAGCCAAGGCACCGTGAATGTCCACTGGCGAATGGCTGGCTAGAGGAGATGTGTACACACACAGTGGAACACTACTCAGCCATAAAAAGAGGAAATCCTGCCATCTCTGATAGCATAGGTGAACCGTGAGAGTATTATGCTCAGTGAAATAAGTCAAACAGGGAAAGACAAACACTCTATGATTTCATTCATATGTGGAACCTGAAAAAACCCAAAGTCATAGAAACAGAGATCAGATTGGTGACTGCCAGAGGTGAGGGTGGGAGGTGGAGGAATTAAGTAAAGGTGGTCAAAAGGTACAGACTTCCAGTTATAAGACAGTTCTGGGGGTGTAACATACAGCATGGTAACTATAGTTAATACTTTATTCTACATTTCCAAGTTGCTGAAAGAGTAGCTCTTAAAAGTTCTCATACTAAGGAAAAAAATCTCACCTATGTGAGGTGACGAGTGTTAAGTAATCTTAATGCAGTAAAATGCTGTACACCTTAAACCTATACAATGAATGCTATGTCACTTACATCTCAATAAAACCAGAAAAAGTTTTCCAGACATGAACCTCAGAAAGGATAACCTGCCTGAGGGTATCTGAGAGCTGAGCATGATTATACACAAAACCACCTGGAATATCTCCAGTTGTTAAGTTGATTTAATTCAATATGGTATATCTGAATGAATGGCTTACATTTTAATGAAATGTAGGGTCAAATCACATGAACATTTAACTTGCTAAAATCATCTAGACAGTCAAAAATAGGTTAAACAGTGCTAAGCTATTTTGCATTCCTAGGTACTGTACGTTAGTGTACACAGGATATATTTTCACACACCTCTCAAGGTACAGAGTCTATATTTGAAAACATGCACACTATGCTTTCTGAGCAGCTAGACGTTTTCTGCTAAAGTGGCCGAGGGTAATTCTGGCGGTCTATTTTTGCCTCCCTGGCCGACTGGGTTCAGCTGAGGTGCTGAATGTAAGGGCTGTGTGTGCCGTTAGGGCGCTTCCCCACCAAAAGTGCCTGCTGGGCATCTCAGGAGCCCAGCCTCTACCCTACACTTCACCCTGAACACGGCTGGGCATGGAATGTATTGACACTCACTTATAAAAAATTCTAATTACCTTTTAATGTAAACATTTAAAAAACGTTAACAGCTTTATTGGGATATAGGTAGTGTACCATACTGGTTTCTTATTTAAAGTGCAAAATGCTATGGTTTTTAGTATANTGTTAACAGCTTTATTGGGATATAGGTAGTGTTACCATACTGGTTTCTTATTTAAAGTGCAAAATGCTATGGTTTTTAGTATNCGTTAACAGCTTTATTGGGATATAGGTAGTGTACCATACTGGTTTCTTATTTAAAGTGCAAAATGCTATGGTTTTTAGTATATTCACAGAGTTGTACAACTATCACCACAATCTATGTTTAGGTGAAACTTTTCATAACAACTTTTCTTCAAAAATTCAGAATGTCCCTATGGGGACATGATTCCAGTCACCTGTAAAGACCACCTAGCTCTGGGAGATGGCCATGTGAAGAGGGGAGCAACTCAGATAATTCCTAAAGTGTTTTAAGTTATGAATTGTTGCTGGTCTCCTGGAAATTGCTCTAGAATCACACTCGCACCTCAGGAAGGGGAGCTGACAGGCACTGCAGATGGCACAAAAGCCCATATACCAACCCCGGGAAGGCTTTACCTCTGAGATGCTCTCACAGAGTGCTGTGGCACTGAGCTCCAGTCCTCTCCGAAATGCCCTGCTTCTGGACCACACTTTCCTCTGAACTCATGCCAGGGATGTATGTTCTTCAAGGGGGCTCTGGCCCTCAGATCCAGAACAGCCTCCTTGGTGGGGGTGGGGGCTGCCACCACAACCACCCCCAACCGTGGGCTGGGACAGTTAAATGTCCCTGTCCTCAGGATCAACAGCTGTGTCCACACCCAACCAGGAGGCTCAGCAGCCACGAGGGCACCATTTGGGAGATTACTATGGTGAGGGGGCTGCCAAGGACTGGTTTTCAAGGTCTTTGCACAAGGAGGCATAAACCTAATTTTCAACATCTACTCAGCAAGTGCTTTCACTAAGCACGGCCTCTCTCCCCTCGCAGCTCACCCTCTTGGCTATCCCTGCATTCTACTGAGACGAAGGGAATAAACCAGCGTTCACACCATGCTCTTGCTGTTTTTAAAAATAATGAAATAAAAGAAAGCTGCTTCCCAGGAATTTCTCGGAGCTACTCACATGGGCATTCCCTGCTGGAATCCCTTCCCTCCATGATAAAAGCTAAGATGAGAGCCCATTTTTTACCTATGAGATCAGTAAAGATCAGTTCGACAGTAAGTGAGCGCTTGAATTTGTACACCCTCTGGGGAAGGCATTTGGCAATCTCTCAAAATTAAAAGGTGCACATCTGTTGGCCAGAGCTGCTGTACTTCTAGGACTGTCTCTGCAGATACCTCTGCAGAGACACCAGGGCGCTCCCATGAAGGTAGCTGCTCAGTGCTGTGTGTGGTAGCTGAAGACTGGGGATAGCAGGATGCCTGGCAGGGACCAGGTTGAGTGACAGTGCACCCACAGGCAGGGCCACCGTGGAGCCACGGGCAGGCAGAACCTCCACAGGAGCAAGGTGAAGCAGTCTACTCTCTCAGAAAACAAGCTGCCTCTCCAAGATGTGTCAAGGGGGGAACACAGATTGTAGAACATGCATGAATTATACAGGGGTGAAGAGATGCATACAGTAATTCCGGAAGGGCACCCAAGATGCAGGGCCAGTGGCTGCCTCCAAGGAGGGCGCTGGATGTAGGGCAGAAGCTCCCTCCCCACCGCGTGTGTGCTCTTCGGGCAGATACTTCAGCTCACGCCTGTGTGAACTGGTTTAGCATATGCCGCTCTGTGAGTGGTGGGTACAGGCTGGTCATCCAGCCCACTCTGACTTCACTGACTTAACCGTGGCTCCCAGCCCCTCTCACCCAGAGGACGACAGCCACACCAAAGGAGAGAGTCCAGTCTGAGTGCACCTTCCAGCGCGTGAAAGGACAAGCCCAGGGTCCCCACTTGCGGGTTGATACCTGCAGCCTGTGCCAAATACCATTTTCAAATGCCAGCTTGCCCCTGCTTTCTGTGGCCTGGAGCACGTCACTGAACACCCCATGGAGCCTCGGCAGAGCCCTGAGGACAGTCAGTATAGTAAGTGGCCTGCTGCACAGTAAGAGTTCTGTAAGGAGCAGGCCAGGAGCTTCCCCTCCTGGGAGCGTGAGGT